TGAGCCCTGTCCAAGCAGCAGCTTTTGGAAGAGTGAAATATCCAAAAGCAGGAAAAAAAAAAATGTCAATGACACATGGAAGTCTGCAGGAGCAGACTTTAAGGAAGATGCCTGAAAGAAAACTCATTTCCTGGTCTGTCATTGAGGCTTAGTAGTTAGATTTGACAAAGCCTGCATAACAAGAGCTTGAATGCAAGTACTGTTATTTCAGGAAACAATGTACTCAACTTGAAATCACACAAGATACAGAAAAATACATGTCCCTGCAGGAAATTTGTAAAAAAACACTTCTTCTCACTTTGGTAATTTTTCTCCTCATTCAGCTTTTTTCTCAACATTCAGCTTTGAAGTCTTAAGTTTTTTGTTTTTCTCCTCAAATAATCCCACATCTCAAATCTTCTGAAACCCAAACTCTAAACTGCCTAACATGAACACAGGTCTTATGTCTATTTTTTCCTCACCTCTCCCTGAGAACAGATCTGCAGAAGAATCTCTATTTTGCTATTTCTAAGCAGCACAACCATTTGCATCTTAATTCCAGAAAAATGACATGAAATGATACAGGGAACACATTCCCTTAAACTCTGATTAGGTACTGGCATCTACACTTCTGGTTACATTAGTTTTGCCAGCACACCACTAAAAAAACATATACACTCAACAGTTCCTTTTGTTAATGGTTTGGCTTTCTTTCAAGTAATAGTAAACTTTTTTCTGTGACAAAAGACCTTACTCAGATTTCAAATAACTTCCCCAAAGACTCAAAAATGTATCAAAACCCCCTCTGAGATTCTTGAGAAATATTGTTAAAATTTAAGCATTAATATCAGCAATAATGGTATCCTCTTTAACTCTCTCTCCTGTTGGGTACAAACTGAATATCAATACGATCCATTTCCTACTGTAATATGGCAGCTTTCCAAAAAGTATATAATAAGCAGTGACTAAATAAAATTCTAACAAACCACACCTCTGCACCTGCAAACTTCTCATGCTCTAGAAGTCATACAACATAAATAGATTTAAGTAAGTGGAGTGCTGTAACCATAGAAACAGAGTGCCATCAGTATTTAAGTATCAGTCAAAAACTTACCATTTCTGGTTTGGGAGATGTTGAGAGCTGTAACTTATCTTGCAGTTTACTGGTAGTCGCTCTCCTAGTTCTGCTACTGCTTAATAAGAAAAAGACATCTTAAATTGTTCAACAAAGGAATGTATTTTTAGAGTATGTTCACATGTTTCAGTTGGCAGTCTGCAGAATGTACTCACGCTGAAGCATTTCTGTTTAGCTTGCACTATTCCTCCAGCAAAAACAAATGGTTAAGCAACCACTAATCAGGACCCAGGCTGTAAAACTTCCCTTCTTACACCATAAAGAGCTAACAAATTGGAATTTACACTGCAGGTGTAATTTCTCATGCTTAAGAATGAGTACCAACTTGTCTAGTCTGATGCATCTGCTACAGAAGTTTCTAAATACTGCAGTTGAGTGGAAAGGGGGAGCACAAGAAGCTGAAGCTCAGCTACTGCAATCATGAGAGCCCAGGCCATCTGAGGCAAGTCTGAACGAGGACATGTAGTTCCTACCACACTGACAAGGTTCCAAAAACCTTCAGTCAGGCACCAGAGCTGGCATCAGATTACCCAGAAAGTTACAAAACCACCAAGTTTCTCTCCTAGCAACTATGAAAATGTATTGACAGCTCAGAAAACCATCTCGATTTAAAGCTGCAAATTCAAATTTTCCCTCAGGTGCTTTGTGATGTGTTATATAAGAGACCTGGCAGTACTACATGTGATTGAAAATGAACATTCTAGTTAGCAAGTGGTATCATTGCATCAGAGGAACTTACAAAAGCCAGCTGAGATAAAAATGAAGGAACATTAGTGAATATGAAAATAAGAGCATGTAAGCCATAGCAGAAATATTACCTGATGGATGTCTGGTCTTCTTGAATGGGCACACCAGAAGTCCTCTTTCTTGATAGATATTCTTTGACTTTCTGTTGTCTTTGTTCTAGAAGATTTTAAGAAAGACAGACTTGTTACATTTTCAGCTAAAATATGTTACACTTCCTTAGTCAAGAAGGAAATGCAGCTAGAAAAGCATCACGACGTTATAAAATATAGACACTATGGATTACAAAATGTTTTCACATCTTAATGTCTTACACATTCTCACATTTCTTGAGAAAGTACATATTCAAGAGATGGTTGAATGTAACTTCACAGCTACACAAAATGGCTGGTTTGCTGTATTAAGCTAAAAGAAGCAGAATTTTGTAACATGAATAAGTCAGGCTTGCTGTTACCTTCTGTGTGCCTGTCCAATATTTCACATAGTTACTGGTGGTTCAGTAAGCACACTTTTCATTTGTGGCAGTAGCAAGTACAGCACACATGAAAAGCACCATGCATGTGAAACCAGCTGAACATCAGTAAAACAATTTCCTTCACTTCCACCGTCACTCAGAGATTTGAACAAGTGTTAATTCTACTAGGAGTGCCAATACCATCACGAAGTAATCATGGAAAGGCCCTAGGAACAGCTGTCACTGTCCCTCCAGGGGATAGTGACTCCACCATCTCCCTGGACAGTCGAGTCTCATACCAAAACACCCCTTCCGTCAATAAACTCCTCCCGATGCCCAACCTAAACCTCCCCTAGCGCAGCTTCAGACCGTGTCCTCTTGTCCTGTCACTGGTTGCCCGGGAGAAGAGGCCAGTCCCCACCCGGCTCCGCCCTCCTTCCCGGCTGTTGTAGGGAGCGATGAAGGAAGGTCTCTGCTGAGCCTCCTTTTCTCCAGGCTAAACACCCCCAGCTCCCTCAGCCGCTCCTCACAGGGCTTGTGCTCCAGACCCTTCCACAGCTCCTTGCCCTTCTCTGGACAAAGCGTCCAGAAGGCAGTGTCCATCCCCTGCTTCTGAAGGAGCTACCACAGCTCATTCAGCAGCGAGCTCGAAGCGCATCCCAGAGCTTCCCAGCACCTTCTGCTTCAAGCACGGCTCTCACCGCCCCTCGCACGAACCGCAAAGCCGCACCAAAGCGACTCCCTCGCTTTAACTTACAGAAACCGAACCGCTCAGAAAGTAAATAAGCACAAGAGCGCGGGTCTAGGTCGGCGTCGCGCTTGCTGCTTTCAAGAGGTTGCTCTTAACACCAGGGCATCCCGCTTGTCACTAGGGAAGGCTTCCAGCCCAGGAGTCTTACCTGGGGCCCGGGACAGGTGGGGTGGGGCCCGTGCCGGCCCCAGCCCTGCCAAAGGAGAGCGAAGCCGCGTACGCCCGCTCGGAAGCTCTGAGACCACAACAGCAAACGCTGCTACCAAGATCTGCCCGGTCTCCGACCTCGCCTGGAGCGCCTGCCCTGCCCTCCCCTCCCACCTTGCGGAGAGACCGACCGGCTCCTCTCTCGCACCGGCTCTCCTGCACCCGCCGCGGCGACGCGCGAGCCTGCAACGGCGGCCGGTAACGCTCAGCCCCGCGCGGGCAGGCGAGNGGCGGCCGTGGGCCCCAGGCAAGGCGGGGCGGCAGGGCTGCGAGTGCGGGCGGTGTCGGGCGAGGGACGCGACACGGAGCGTGTGAAGGGCTTGGGATGCAGGCGGAGCATCGATCGGGGGTGTGGGAGGGCGTTCTGCGCCGGGGTCTGGCAGGGTTTGTTTCTGTGGCGAGATTAGGGCGGAGTTGCAGGCTTCGAGGGGCTGTGCTGGCCGACAGCAGCTGAACGTGAGCCAGCAGTGTGCCCAGGTGGCCGAGAAGGCCAATGGCATCCTGGCCTGTGTCAGCACTAGTGTGACCAGCAGGAGCAGGAGAGACTGTCCCCCATATTCCGCACTGCTGAGGCCACACCTCAAATCCTGTGTTTAGTTCCGGGCCCCTGAGCTCAGGACAGACGCTGAGGTGCTGGAGTACAGGCTTAGGAAGGGCAGCTGAAGGGGCTGGTATTGTTTAGCCTGGAGAAGAGCAGGCTTTGGGGGGACATTATTGCTCTCTTACTGCCTGAAAGGAGGGTGGAGCCAGGTCGGGGTCTCTTCCCCCAGGCAACAAGTGACAGGAAAAGAAGTAGCCTTAAGCTGTGCTAGGGGTAGTTTAGGTTTGGCATTAGGAAGAATTTCTTAACAGAAAGGGTGATTAGATGTTGGAATGAACTGCTCTGGGAGATGGTGGAGTCACCGTCCCTGGAGCTGTTTAAGGAAAGACTGGACATGGCACGCAAGGCCATGCTTTTGTTGACCTGGGGATGTCAATTGGTTGGACCCGATGATCTTAGAGGGCTTTTCCAACTTCATTGATTCTGTGATTCTGCGAGAAAGGCCTTATGTGTGTGTGTGACATGGGATGAGGATGGGCATGAGGTGTGTAGGCAGTGTCACTGTCAGAGTGCTGCTCATGGCTCGGGCTGTCACTCCTGTACAGAGCTGAGCCCTGGCTTTAGCATGGTACGTGTCGCACAATTCACACTTGAGTCGTCCAGGGTGCTGACAGACCCTCTGCTCTTTCTTGAGCCATCCTGCTTATTGCTTCACTTCACTGCCGGACTGACTCTTGATCTCTCCATTCTTCCACACCATGGTAATCGCATACCCTCACAAACAGCTGTGAAAATGTGCCTCCAGTTTTACAAGTAGGAAGCAATTTGCTAAATGCACATTTTCCAGGTACTGTTTGCTGTCTGATAAGTAAAGAGCTTTTCAACAGCAACACAAATAGAAGCAATATTCCTGTTGATAGGATGGAAGATTTCAGACTGTGTGCAGCATCTTTTTATTAGGTTGCTTTGCTTTTTTTGCATAACTTCTACCTTCTTTGTCAGCATATAGTGGTTGTTCCAAAGCCAATAGCCCTGTTTAAAATACATTTAAGAACTTTTGTACATCTTGCAGAGTATATGGAGGGAGGATCCCTCAGGATTTCCGGAGGTAAAGTTTATACACTTGAAAAAGGAAGTTTGTGTTTATCCATCTAATCCTTTTATACTATTTTCCTCCATTATTTCCTAAACGTCATGTATTTTGTTCTCTGGAAAAAAGGGAGCGTTCTCAAAATACTGGCTTGTTAAATCTGATTGCTGTGTTGTGGTAAGGTGTGATGTTTCCAAGACCAGCATTTATGTAACTTACTGGTTCAGTTTGTTGTTGATCTGTTATATTTTTCCTGCCCAGGTGAAATTTGATAGTGGAGTTTTACTGCTGAGCACACATAGACTGATCTGGAGGGATCAGAAGAATCATGTAAGTCCCGTTTTTGTCTCCTGTATGTCATTCAGTTGTAAATTCTGTAATAAACAACAAGTAACTTGCAATGAAAAGCCTGTACATGGAGAGGGGATTATTCCTGCCTTTGTGTGTCTTTTGTTGTGCAAGTATAGTCCGCTTTTTGTCTCTCAGCCAAAAGAAGATTATGTAGCGTTCTTTCACCCAGTCCTGCTTTAATAAAATTATCATGCAGAGATGAGAAGGGATAGGAATGTATCCTGTAAGTTTTTCTTTTATACCACACAGAAATAAAAGAGAAAAGAGCCTGGCATCATGCACTAAAAAACACTGAGTTTTAAACTTAAGTTGAATGTGTCAGGCAAATGATAATGTGAAGCTCTCTCCCATGCTCTTTGTTTAGGAAAGCCTTTTCTTCCTTGTTGGTTTCAAGTCCAAGTTGCCCCACCATATAGTCCCAGACCATGTTTTGATGTGTTTGGTGACAATATTGTTTTGCACACATCTTGCCCTCACAGCTGCCTGTTCCTGCCCTGTGTTTTGCACACATCTTGCCCTCACAGCTGCCTGTTCCTGCCCTGAACCATCCCTTCAATCAGCCAGAACATTTACTGTAGTGCTGTGGACAGGTTACGTGGCACTGCCAGAACTACAGTGTGGTAACTGTTACTGTAGTAAAGCTGCTGAATTGTTTGTGTCATCAACCACAGCCTGGGAATGCAGAGGAAGCAGGAGAAAGAGACCACAAACACATAAAGCTCTAAGCATAGAGTGTGACAATGGGCACCACTCCACAGATGTAAATGAAGAAGTGTTTTTCAGACCAGGTTGGATTATGCTTGTTTTGGACACAATAATTGAGAATTTTAACGCTGAAAGCCAAAGTTTAGAAAGCAAAGATCACGTTTAGATGACAACTTTCCAAAAGCAAATTGTATTCCACTGGGCTTTTGTGCAAGGGCTGCTGAAGCAGCTCTCACGCTCAAAGGCTGATCCCTAGCAAATATCACATCCTTGCTTCAAAGCAGGGAGCTACTAAGAGCATCCTGAAGGTAATGTCACCAAGGATGTTCTTAATTTGGCAGAGCAGTATGATTTTTTCTTTAGGGATTGTTTGCAGGACCAGCGGACCTATTTTTAATACATTTTTTTTCCAAAGTGTTTAAAGAGCTGTTACCCACAGTGGGGTTACTGTTTACACAAGTTAGGGCTTGATTGTCCAGACCATGAGCTGTTCTGTATAAATTAACATGGGGCTTTATTGCACAGTCATCATGTTATCACATGAGATAATGTGCTAAATTCTTAATTCTTAAAAACTGTTAATTACTTTTTATTTCTTCATCAGCATCTCTTTTTGAGAGCTGAGCATGTACTGGAACAACCACTGCGTCTAATCTTCTCCCTTGGACTTTTTGCATGCTTGGAGTAACATTGGGCATTATGGCTTCAGCAAGTCTTAGAACTGAACATATCTCCATCCTCTCCTTTCCAGCAAAAAGATTACATTTGTCTCTCCCCTGATTTCTCCATCTGCTCCTAGGCCATGTGGTTTCTTGTACTATTCCAAGGTCGTTGAATTTGTTAAATCAGCAGAGGAAAACCTTGGAGAAGAGGAAAAATAATTTTATTTTAACTAATTTAACTCAGCAAAGATTCTGAAAAGCTTAGGCTTGATTAACAGAAGGGGCAGAAATGTGACCCACAGATGGGCAAAAATTGCCCGTTCTGATTGGAAGATGTAATTAACTTTGTTAGTAGGGTAAATAAAGCTGATTAATTTTCAAGCTCTCAGTACTGAAACATGGGGAGCATGGTGCTCGTTTGTTGTCTCAGTGAGTTGTTGTCTAATCTCAGCTGTGGTTTAACATCAGAATTATTCTAGCTTACCTAGAATAAATTTGTAGAGAGAGTCCCCTTCTTATTTTGTCAGCAATGTATAATAATTAATGGGGCACATGTCATTAGGTTAACATAGCAAACCTTTCAGAAACAGCTGGGTCCTGTAGCTGCTGTTTTTACATGCCATCTGCAGTTGAACAGTGTTTTAAAAAAAGGGAGGATTTCTGTAAAGTTTGTTACATAGCTAGATTTATACAAATTTTGAAATGATAAAATCATGCATAATGTGAGCATGAAAAGACAAAATGTGAGCATTAGAAGACAAAAGTCAAATAAACACACAGCATATTTAACACATTTCTGGTTTTTTATCCCTTCCTGTAGCTTCTCTGATCAGGAAGGGGCGATTCTAAGTCTTTGTACTTAAAATAAGTTTGTAACTTTCTATCTTGGAACTAAACAAATCAGTCACTTTGACAGTGCACATACTATATATAGTTGAACTCTTTTTGTCATTTTCAAAACCTTGTTTTTTGAACAGAATTATCATACTGCCTATCTTTTAAAGTGTCCAGAACTTTGTGTCTGTTTTACAAACATTAACTGTTTGTAATGGCTTTAGAAACCAGTTGTAGAAGAACCTAGATAGCTTGCATTAAGAGTTTTTAGAAAAGGAAGTACAACCCAGGTTTTTTCCCAATAAGAAATTTATTTATTAGCTGGAGTTCCTGCATGTATACTTCCCTGCTCTCAAATTTAGTGGGTATTTAATTACTCCATACAAAAAGGAACAATTTGGGTAGCAGGGATTGAGAGGGCCCTGTAACAGTGTCTGTTTTAAACTGGTGCTAGGCAGTGGCAGGTGGAAGAGAGAAGTCCAGACAGGGAATGCAACCTGTGTTTCCTGCATTCTGTGTGACTGTGTCAATCACCAAGGTTTTGTGTGGGAGATGATGTTCCTCAGAGGATGTTCACCAAAACAAGACTAGGCACCTTAGTTGATCTTTTGAATCATTCCTGTAGCGATTTCTGTCTCAAATGCATGTTTTGTTTTGTTAAAAGCACAGTCCAATAAATGTGTGGTGAGATGAAGCAACTGCTGAATTAAGTCCTTCACTGTAGGATGGATGGAAAAATTCCTGTTCTATTCAGACAATAGTGCAGACTTTAGATATTCAGCATTTAAAAAGAATAGTGGGTCTGGATATTTTTGTAGCTTCCACAGTAACATTAATGTAAAAAATGTCAAGAGCCTTGTGAGTATTGTGCACCTACAGAGAAAAGGTACAGTAATGTAGAAAATTTAGTGTTTAAATTTTTACTTTGGATCTAAAGATTTGTTAAATTCCCTTCTGAGCTTGAGGTTTTTGAGGTTGCCACACTGACACTTAAGTTTGTTGAGGTTTTTTAATTAACTAGAACACAGTTTAAATTTTGTGTTATTTTTTACATATATTCCACTGCAATACATTGTTTCTGTTGTTACCATCATACTTCACATCGAGTGCTTCAGACAGCATCTGTAGATATCCATACTGTTTGTGAAATGAGGAAGGAGAACACTTGGGTTTAGAGAGTGAATAGACAAGACGTGGTTTAATTCACCCATGTTTGTGGTGTTTGTTCCAGGAGTGCTGCATTGCTGTACCTCTCTCTCAGATTGTATTTATTGAAGAGCAAGCAGCTGGGATAGGAAAGAGGTATGGCCATCTTCATTGTCTTTTTCAGATGGATCCTTTCACATGCATGTTTGAGGTACACAGTATTCTAGGTTAATTCATGGTAGGTTCTGTTTGCAGTCTTAAGTTTCCATAATGTCAGTTACAAGGACCATTGAGGTCAAATGTGTAGGAGAGTCATGACTGATGTGATTTGTTAAGTAACTGTCACGTAGTCACTACTGATGATTTTAGAGGTCTTTTCCAACAGAAATGACTCTATTGATTTTAAATTTCTAAAGAGGGAAAAAACTTTGGTTGGAGAAATATATGCACAATTAACAACTGCTTGCAGCCTACAGTCAAATTGGTAGGGTAATATGCTGGAAGTATTCAGAAGAAATCAGTTCATTCACTGATGTTGGAGAAGTAAATAAAGACCAATGCAAAGATTATCAGTAAAATGAGATGGGAATGGAGGACTTGCAGTCATGTTGTGATCGCAGTCTGTTAATTTTCCTAAAATCATGCTCTCCCAAGGTTTGTTTTGGTAGTAGGTGTCCTTTTAGACTATTGTTTTCATGCATGTTGGCTTTGAATGTTGGTTTTGGGTAAGTTCACACACAAGTGTCCACAAATGACATATAGAAGTGGAATAGGTTACACATAATATTGAGACCTTTTGTTTTCCTATGTCAAAGTTGGTGCAGTTTGGCTTTTGACCTGCAGTGACTACTGCCAAATTAAATGACAACTTGACAATCAGTTTTTATCCTAACTAAAAGGTTTTTTGGAAATCATTGCTTGAAATAGTAAAATTTCTTAAGAATTGATGGCAGGTACATTTTAAATTTGTAAAATGTTTCTGCTTTAGAGCCTATTGTAGTTTTTTATGCAAGATCTACTTCATCAAAATATTTAAATGTTGATGCATAAATATAAAACATTCTTTGATGATCTTTAGCTCTTATGTTAATAGAGTTAATAGAGATTTTTATGAAATGGTAAACTTAGATGCAGAAATAGTTTATTTAGATATTACAGAAATATCTTCTCTTTTCTTTACCCTTTCCTTAGTGCTAAAATAGTAGTTCATCTTCATCCTGCTTCTTCAAACAAAGAGCCTGGTCCATTCCAAAGCAGCAAATATTCCTACATCAAACTTTCTTTCAAAGAACATGGGCAGATTGAGGTAAGTCTTGTACCACGGATGCCAAGCACAAACAGGTCTTTGGACATGTTTTTCTCCTCTTGCTCTGTTAGTGATAATGTCCCATGATCTTTCCAGGTTTACTTTTGAGGTGGAGCTTTTTCAATACATCCTTTTGGGAAACAAACACTGTGATCCTCCCATGTTCTGTACTTCATTAAATACTGCAAATAGAGTTCCAAAAATGTCAAGAGGCATTACTAGTCTAGTCCTTACTTTTAAAGGTTTTAATATAATCTTATACTTCCTTCTTAATCTACTGAATTGAACACAGGATTTTCCAAAATGACATCTCTGAAATCTGTAAAATGTTTAACAGAGTAAAAGATGTTTCTTTGTACCTAATCCTCTATTGAACAAGAATCATACAATTTATTCCTACTTATCTCTCTATTTTTATTGCTGAACACCTTTTGTTGCATCAGAACTTTTGTTCATTTTACACTGTATAATTTTTTTTAACATACACCAAATCTCAAAGGTTTGAAAATATAATATAGTCTTAAAAGAAAGGTTATCCTTAAAACCAAAGAAAATGTGCTCTGTAAAGAAATTTCACAGTGGAAGATTCTCGTTTGATGAGACTGAGAACTTTAACTTTGGACTGTGGAAAAAGCTGTACCTGTTCACTGCAGAAAATCAGATTTGCAACTCAGATTAGTTAGAAATGTAAAAATGCATGTGCTTGATCAGACTCACTTTCATTTCTTTGTGACCAGTTTTCAGATTATGATGACTATAGATTTATGCATAGTCTAAATGTGTGTTTCTCGTAATCATAATCATATTTATTTTAATGTTGTGTCTGAAAAATCAAACTTACTGTGCTTACTGGTTGCCTAGCCCACCAATTAAACCCCAGCCTTTCTTTATGACTTCAGAATGGTTTCCAGTGAACCTGAACAATGAAAAGGGTGGATATTGGTCAGTGGGTTAGTGTTAACTAATGCCACCTTCTGGTATTAGCAATAAACAAATCAGTGTAATTGATCTGTGTGGTTGTTTTTATATTGTTGAAATAGCAGATCAATAGCAATTGGATAGCTCAGCTTTCCTTCCTTTAAAAACATGCCTTTGAGTATACCTCAACATTTAATGTGGTTTGAGACATTTTGAATATCTGAAGAAATACTTTGCAATAGAAGTACTTAGTGACTACATGGCTTCTCTTCTAATGTGAATACTTTAGAAGACTGGACTTTAAGAATTTCCATATAAACGAGTTCTGTACCATGGTTGTGTAGGTGTTATCATGCTTTGTCTCCACAATTTGTGATGTTTATTTCATCACCAAGATGCTAAAAATACACAGAGGTACTCTGCACAGTTCATGAAGCACCTGTTGTCACTCTTTAATGTTTGCAGTTCTACAGACGATTATCAGAAGAAATCACACAAAGGAGATGGGAGAGCATGCCCACTGGTCAGGCCATGCAAGTTAACAAGGATTCACAGGTATGTGCAGAGCTTCTGAACAGGATCTGTGTGTCATCTCTTATTGCCACTTCTTGCCACTGCCATATACCACATCCAGCATGTGACTAATCAACATCATGGGCATGTGCAGGAATTCAGCTTTAGTCTGCCTTTTTTTCACTGGCATAAATTAGTTTCTCCTTTGCATTTTTCACCTGATAGAACACAGTAGCCTTTCTTTCTTGAGTGTGCTTAGGTAATGAGCCCCTTTTTTTGTTTTAGTTAGACACACACACACATAATTGTGCAAATACAGTATTTATTTGCATATACTTTTATTCAGCATGCGAGGTCCAATGATCCTGGAAAATCTTTTGTCCTAATTGTGATTCCTGTTGGTTTTTTTGGGTTTTTTTGTGTGGCTGAAAGTTAAATGTATAACACATCACTTTTATACTCTTTGAAACCGATATATGTTTGATTTAAATGTGTATTCTAAATGGACAGTTGTTAGGGAGAGTGTCATATGTTAGATATCCTTTATCTGCCTTCATATTTCTAGGTTATAAACTCTGATAAACGTGTAGGTGTTGTTTCTATAGATTAATGTACTGAATATATGAACATACAGTATTTCATATGAGTGAAATAGGATGATTTAAAGATTGTTCAACATGAAATCCTGTTTGCCCCCTTTGGTAAATGTAGTGCCTGTAAGCACAGCTGCATTTGGAGTAATACATGAAGAATCAAATCAAAGCACCTTACCTCACTTAAGTCAGAGCAACTCATTAACACCAGTGCTAAGTTTTGCAGTCAGAGATGAGAGGCCTGACGCTGCTGTCACTTAGGTACCAGCCTTTATAGATCACATTTGGCATCTGGTGGAAGTTTCACCATCGCCCACATCCTAATACCTCTGAGGAAGGTAAATTAGACTGCACTTAGCACTGTGTTTCTATGTTTCTGTTTCTTCAGGCTTTTTGAAGTAGTATACTCAGGCATTTCCACAGCTCTAGTATGGATGTTCACATGGGCTTGAGAGGCTAGAACTGAGATGAGCTGGAATACTCAGTGTGGATATTAAGGCATATTAATAGCTTCAGTATGCTATCAGTATCATTATTTGTCTAGTACAGCTAATTCATACATGGTTTACATGTCTTGTTTATTGTTTTTTTACAGTTGTTTAAAAATTACTGTTAAGAAATGCATGAAATAGTGTATGAATGGTATCTGCTGTTTGGGGGAATATTTCTGGTCCTCTGATTTTCACAGTGAGGCAAATGAGAAAATTTAGCATTTCCTATTTTGACTCTTTCCTGGTTTCTTTTTTGTTATTTTTGGTTTTTTCAGGCAGGAAGAATAAGGGCTGTAGGAATTGTAGGTATTGAAAGGAAATTAGAAGAAAAAAGAAAAGAGACTGACAAAAACATTTCCGAGGTAGGTACTTTTGAAGTTTCAAGGTCAGCCACCCGTCTGAACTATTTACATTCATTCACACTTTCTTTTAGGGATGGCTGAGACTATTTATTGTTTTTGTTGAAAAGTCTGAAATTATTAAGAATGTACAGTTTACAGTTATTTATTTTGTTCAACTGGCTTATCAATATATGTAAAGGTACTTCATTTAAACAATTCCTTTCAAGAACATTGTTCTTTGAAACTAACAGTGTGTATTTATTAAACTAATTTTGGTTTCATTTGAAAATTGAATATACATTAAGCAGAATATGCCAATTTAAGTGTCTGCACATAACTGTGATGAAACCAGATTTTCCTCTTATAGTCAGGCTTTTAGATGTTACATTTAGACTTATAGTTACAGTAAAATGATTTGCAGTCCAGGCATCAACAAGATATTACAAGTATTTTGCAAAATACCTGGGCTAGATGGAGACCATCCTATTCCATAGAACCAGCACAATAGTTGAATTCCAGATATCAATACTAAGGGACAGCAGAGGCATTTAATTTCTTCATATATACCTTAGAGCAATACCCTCAAAACTAGTCTGATTCTGTCTTGGTAGTAGAGATTGATACAAAAGTACTTATAAACTATGTGCAGCAGATGTGTTCTTCTGGCAAAGCTTTATGGGATCCAGTGTGCCGCAAGAAAAAGGCATTCCCTGCTCTAATACTTAGAAAAATTAAAGTGCCTTTGTGGGCCACATGCTCTTTCAGATACTGGGAGCATTAAACTTTTTTTGTTTCTGTCTATGAGGAACGTAATGAATGAAGTTTTGTGTGTAGTTGAAAAGGTATTGTGGCTTCATGTATGTGTATATAGTTCAAAAGGCATTGTCTGCTTATTTTTTCCTTTAGCAGCTTTGTCAGAGAGTAAAAGAAATCCATGTATACATTGTGTATGACCAGAGGAAAACCATGACTTGTAAAATCCTGCCTTCCTCCAGCTTTAAATGTTATAAATGACTTAATTTAAAAAATGGTGCCCTGGCTTCCAGGAAAAGGCTTCCTGCATCTGCTGTTCAGTGCTGATAAGAATCCAGTTCTTTAGCCTTTTGTTTATCTGAGGAAGTTCCTGTTAGGTGTGTGCACATTCCCCTTTGTTTCCAGGCCTGCCCTGGGTGAGTCAGGCAGAGGAGGAGTTAGACACAGCATACTGTTTATTTAGCTAAATCTGGGGTTCTTTTGATGAATGTTGTTTTCATGCAGGTATAGAGATTAGAAATAAGCTGAGAAAGGCCCAGTCAGAAAACTTCTTCTTGATATCATACACAAGTAGAATAGCAGGACTTTGATTTACACTAGAGATTGGGAAATCTATTGTGAATTATTCTATTTGGCAGATTAGGGAGTAAGAAGAATTCAAAAGAGAAGCATTGTTTTCTGAGTGGTACGTTATTGTTATACAGTGGTATATTTTTTTTCCCTTTTTTAAGTGGTCCTGTGGATCACTTAATTTTGGACAACTAACTCAGGTACCAACTGTTAGGAGACACTAAACTTGTCGAGTCAGTGCAGAAACACTGGCACTCTCAGGAGGTGAAAAAGCAAACCCTGTCCCTTTCTATCTCCTTTTTGTTCTTTGCACAATGAATCTCTGACCAATAAGTTTCTATATAAGGCACCTAAATGTAGATGGGAACAATGGGGTCTTCCTGCAAAAACACTGCTAAAGTGCATTTTTCTGGTGGGGGATTAGTCAGAGTAACCCAGAAATGACTCAAAGTCAGTGACTAGAAGCTGTAGGCAAGATATCTCTGACCATTTGACAGTGTAACTGAATCTTCTTCACTTGTGGCTGGAGGTCTTGGGTGCTGCTGTCAGGAAAACTTCAGATGAAAAAGTTCAGGAATTTTTCTCACACCAGTTGTTCAAAAAAGGTTGTTTGAAAAAAGTTGACTACCTGGGCATGTTGTGATGTATTTGAGAAGTAAGGAGGCTGAATGTGCATTGATGAGGGTGGGAGAAAATAGAGTTTTGCTTTTTAATATAGTTGCATTAATGGAGTTGCTAGCTTTTTTTTTTGCTTTTTGCTCTTTTTTTTTAATTTTTCAATGCTAGTTTATCATTACTAAAAGTTTGGAATTACAATATACCTTCAGCTGATTTTAAAGTATGATTTATTTAAGTCTAAAAACCCTTTGTGGGTTGTTTTAGAGTTGTTGTATTTGAGACCATAGCATTTTATTGGAATACTTAAATGAAGAGACATTGCCACACATTTCAGAGGTTTTGTCCTTCAGATATCCTCTTCCTTGCTCATTTGAAATGAGTGTTTCTTGCTAAGTGACATTCAGTGATGAAAGTAAAGTTGTCTTGTCAGGAGAAGTACATCTGTAGCTTTACAGCTGTCTTGCAGCTAGCCAGAAACAACAAATCTCCTTGAGTGAGGGTACCTATCATCACCACCTGGAAAGCTTCCCCCACCTTACAGAGAGCATAATAAACTTGAACAGTTTAATCTTTTCTGGGACTCAGTATCTCATTTTCCCTTCCTATCACATGGACATCATAATCATAATGAAATTCTGTTCGTATACTGGAAAAGTATGTGATTGTTTGAGTCTCTTCCTCATTCTTTGTTGTTTATTTTAATTATAAGACATGGTGTAAAATAGTTGTATCAACAAATAAGGTATGGTATCTCATGTTGTAACATACTCATCTAAAGGGGTAGCAGCTCTTATGAATAGCTGGGGTAGGTGAATAAAGGCAGCTCTCTGTGTCCCTAAAACTGAATGCTGTAATTTTACTGATCTGCATTGTCTGCTTTTAATTTCAGGCTTTTGAGGACCTTAGCAAACTAATGGAGAAGGTATGTATGGATGGCATGTGTCACTTGGCCAAGCAGACTTACACTTGTTTTCTCACTTTAAAGCACTCTTTTCTCTCTTGAGCTGAAAGTTGACTTACCTGTCTGTCTTGTGTGTCCTTCTTGATAGGCTAAGGAAATGGTGGAATTATCCAAGTCAATAGCTAACAAGATTAAAGAAAAACAAGGTGACATCACTGAGGATGAGGTAAATTAATTTTGTTTTTAAATTCTATAGAAATGTTCCTATGAAAAGCAAAAAGTTATCTGTTTAATAATGTAATGTTAATAAGAATCCTTGCTGGTTGGTTTTGTTGTGTTTACTCTTATATTTGGTGTAGAGTTTACTTAGTGTTGATTTTTTAAGCAAGTGTTAACTTGCTTACTGATAATTTTTCTTTTAACCCTTTTTAAAAGCAATTATTTTACAGCTTTTATATAATTTTTTCTATTTTTTTACCTGTGCTAGTCAAAAATAAATGGTGCTAAGTCTTGCCTTCTCTTTGCCTAGTAATTGTCATTATTGGGAGAAAACTGAAGGATTTATTCACCAAAACTGTGTTATACTAATAAAATCAAAGATTTTTACAAACCAGAATCACTCATTAGTTGATGTACTTCTAAATTTGTTTGTTTGTTTGCTTGTTCAGACCATTAGGTTCAAGTCCTATTTATTGAGTATGGGTATAGCTAATCCAGTAACGAGGGAAACATATGGATCTGGTACACAGTACCACATGCAACTGGCAAAGCAGCTGGCTGGAATCCTGCAGACACCCTTAGAGGTAAAGCATCACATCATGCACCTGCATTTTGCATGTGTTGCTGAATTTCAATGTGTGTTTTGGCTGTAGTACTCTGCCTCTTTTTAAACCAGATTTAGCATCACAGCCTCCTATTCAATATTTATGGGAAGAATATTTATTATCTTTTTGAATAAAAGAAGTTTAAATGTAAGTACAAATTTTTCTTTGGACTAATGCAGTCAACTTCTAATTTACAAAAAGTTGATGAAATTTAGAAAACTGTTTAAGTGTTTTTTCTCCTACCTGAACAGCCCTGTATTCATCCCTTGCTGCAGAATGTTTCTTTTTTAAAAGAAAGAGTGAAATGACACTGACTGAAAATATAAGTAATAAGTATTTTTATACTGCCTAAAATTTACATATTTTGCAAATATAGGACACAATTATTAAATAGATTACCAGCCCTTAGTAATATCTCTTATGTCTTAGTAAGTTTTAATTTTTCTTAAGCTATTACAGATTACAGGTTTCTCACCAAAAAAAATCAAATTTCATGTTGCAATTTATAATGCTATGCTCCTACTAAAAAGCATATATGCTACAGTATTTTTGTGAAAGGTGTGTGCTACCTACTCTGTTCAGAATGGAACATTGAGTTTGTCTGACAAGTAGAAATGGTAAATTGATTGATAGATTTAATATATTGAAATTCTTTGTTCCTGTGATTTATTCTCTGCCTTAAAATGGAAGTAATTCACAGAACTTGGCTGTAGTGTCACTATTTTGCAATTTGATGATGTGTGAAAGATACAACTTAACCTCTTTGGTTTTCCCCATTTGGGCCCATCATTTATCCTCTCTGTTTCACCTGTTTAATCAGCCACCTGCAAGTCGAGGTGCTGTTTTTACTGGGTTAATGCTGTTTCTCTTACCAGTCTTGTGCTTATTAACACAGGAGAGAGGGGGGATCATGTCTCTTACAGAAGTGTACTGCCTGGTGAATCGTGCTCGAGGACTAGAGGTGAGACACTCCTTTGTAAGTATGTAATAACAGGACTTGAGTCATAACGAAATTAAAAAGGGTAAAAATGTTCCCTACCAATTGCTCATTCTACTTGTTTGCAACATGATGTGATCAGCTCTTTATTAAAATTAGAGGGCTTTTACCTTTCACCTTTCTCATTCTTCCTTATAATACTTATGTATCCTTTACAAGTTGTTGTAATGTATACTGCTTTATATGATACCATGTAAAAGAGAAAATCCATTCTTACCTGGAAACAAAAAGGTCAGAGACCACTAAAGAATGGTGAATGTTCTGGGAATTTTTTTAACAAAATACAGCAATTCTTTCTGTAAACAAGATGAGAAGGATTATTATAGAATACATAGTAAGGGAACAGAAAGGATCATAGAAGCCAAGAAAATAGGCTGCACAATAGAAAGGAGAAAGAATTAACAATAAGTGTAGCCTTGTGTATTTTATAGCTGCAGCTACTAAAACTTTGTTTTGATGTTATATTATACACATGAAATGCAAGCTGTGAATAAATATCTTTTACTATTTTAATAGTTGCTCTCACCAGAAGATTTAGTAAATGCTTGTAAAATGCTGGAATCACTGAAATTGCCACTAAGGTAAGAGCATTACAAATTTATTTATAAAGTATGGAACTCACAGGTCAGACCATAATGATTTAATAATTTACTTGAAGTAGATTTTTTTTGTGGTTGTTGTGGGTATTTTTAACAAAGTCATTCTTTGCTCAAGAGCTGCTGCCATTTGCACCAACATCTACTCTACATTAAAACATTAATTTTTAGCTAGGAAAATGTTATTTTTTCACTTAGAAATTTTTCAGACTGGAAAAGGGTTTAAGACCAGACACATGCCCTGCTCTTTTCAGATTTTGAATATGCTGTTAAGCTTAAGTTCATTTTAGGGAGCTTGTTTGGGTTTGGGGGGACTTTTTTCCCCTTTTGTCATGTGGTTATAGATGTGGATGCATTAGAGATGTGACCATAAGTGATGCACACAGGGTTCTTAGTTACTTTGCCTCTCTGTTTTTGATTTTAGGCTTCGGATATTTGATAGTGGGGTAATGGTGATTGAACTCCAGTCTCATAACGAAGAGGAAATGGTAGCTGCTGCTTTAGAGACAGTAAGTGTACTTCATTTCCTTCAGTGTTCTGACCAAGCTAGGGAAATTTAAACACATTAGGTAAAAAACTTGAGGTGTGGGATTTCCTCTTGAGATTTCAGGATGCAAAGCATTCCACTTCATATCTTCTAAGAGAAATATTTAAATAGCACTTCTCATCTTCAAAGTTCTGTGCAGGCAATAATCTTAGTCATTACTTTCTCTTTAAGGAATAAATCACTTTTCTATCTCTTCAAACTTCATTAACCTTCAGCCTTCCTCCAAATCTTTTGCACTGTAGGCTGAAATTCATGGCATTTATTGAGCACCTAATTTAACAGAAGTGGACTTCAGACACTGTACTGCTTGAAGGCAGTGGAAACAGCTCTTAAATGTTGAGATAGGCAGTTGTTTGGTTTGGGTTTATTTCATAGAACAGTACGAGTTTGCTGCTGTGAGGAGCATTCAGTTGGAGAATAGTGTGTGTAGAATTAAGCCAGCTTCATCAGGGAAAAAGATAGCATGAATTGTTCAGTGTCATAAGCCTTTGTGGTCTTGCTGTTTCTGGACATTTTACAGTCCTGTTATGCCATTATTTGCTACATTTTTACTTGTTTTTCTGAATGGAATGTAGTTTTTTGATTTTCATACATTTGAGAAAAGGTTGATCCAGTGTATCCAAAGTTAGACATCAAAGAGGGGACAGCTGAGAAAAAGTAGAGGCACCTCCTCACTTGACACAAGGTAGACTGCACAGTGCATTTTGCATGGTTGTCACCATACAGCTTTTGTTCATCAGAAAGATTTTTAGGTAAGATAAATGTTTATAGTCATTTAAAAGATTCCACTATAAATCAACAATGATCTAAAATGCTTATGTTTTTTAATATGTGTTAGTATTTTCAGTTTATTTTCTTAAATTTATAGAAAAATACCAAGACCATTTTAGTGCTTTGTCTGATTATTTTTGGTTTCTTATGAATTTTTTGTCTTCAGTAAGAGTGCTTATGTCTTTGAAAAGAAAGGAAAAATATTTCTTGATAACCGAGGAGGTCAACTGCAAAAAGTAGCAGATGGTGGATTTATTACCATTGAAAAAAAGTGCCTTTTTTCTTTTATTTTCATAATATGAGACTTTGGCTCCTTAGAAGAGTGGAAGGGAGAGGCTTCAACTGAGGAAGACAAGGTTGTATGGGGAAGGGAAGATGAGATCAGACCTGTGGCCAAAAGCACCCCATACTTTAATGTTACTGCACATTATACATTGAGTTCTGAGAAGTCAAAGGAAGCCATAGGATTTCAGGCAGGAGGGAGATGTGGTTTTGAATGGGTGGTGAAGGCAGGAAATGACAGGAACATCAAAGGAATCCAGAGTCACCCTTGATGAGCATAGTGGTTTGGGAAGGAAAGATAATTAATCACTGACGTCTGCTACTCAGATTTGATCTCTTAACTTCTGAAAATCTCATGTTAGGACTAATTTAATCTGAGTTTCTGTAAAAGGACTACGGCTGAGAATGATGCAGAATAGACCCCTCCCCACCCAGTTATGTGGGAAGCAGGAAATGGCAACTACATCCGGATTTGCAGCTTTGCTTGAATCTAAAGCAATGGAGAAATGGAAGAATTATTAACTTCTAGAGAATAAAGCATGTTTATCTGGGAAATTCAATGCATAATAAGTCTAAACTTCATATGTAGTATTTATCTAGTATTTTAAACATCCACATGTCCAACGTGTGTGAGAAGGTTTCATTTTATTAAGTAGCATGGTTGAGACAAAAGGGCCAAAGTTTTGAGTCCCAGAAGTGAACTTGTCTTTTGTGTCAGCTGAATGTGATGGTGGCTTTTAGTTATTCCTCCAGTATGCCATAAAAGCATGTGAAGTACTAAGGTTTGGGGATTTTCCGGTAGGCAGTGGGTGTATTTTAAATGCCATAAAACTCAAATTCTTCTCCTTCACCTGAGATGACTTACATTTCTACACTGATAAGTTGCCTTGAACGGGTCTTTTATTTCCTCATTTAGGCTTCAGTGTTTGCAGAGTCACTTGAAATAGTTCTGCTGTGTAAATACTGATGGAGACTGTGTTCTGCTGTCTGACCTATTCTAATTTTTCAGTTCATTTGGTCGCAAGGCATCTTTTTAAAAAAATCCAAAGGGTACCATATGATTATTTTACAGATTTAACTCTTTTCTCTTTTTCTTTTTTATACTTCGCAGTTTTCCCAGGACACAGAAGAGATGTTTTTAAGGGGATATAGTCATAATTAGTTGTACTTTTTAAAAATGCAAACAGACTAATTTTCTTCTCAAGGAATTTGCTAGCAATTTATCACTTCTCAAGGCTAGATCTGATTCAGTAGATGAGAAAACTTCATTTTTCTTTTAATGCTGTAATTTGTTCATTTGTTTATTTGGTTTTTGATAGGTATCTGAAAAGGGTTCTCTCACAGCTGATGAGTTTGCTAAGCTGGTGGGGATGTCTGTTCTCTTAGCCAAAGAAAGGTAAATAATAATAATTGTTGTAATAATTGTTGTATTTAATACTTTGGTTATCATGTTGTCCTCAAGTAATACAGGACATCTTCTTTTGCTTTCTCTAGGCTGCTTCTTGCTGAAAAGATGGGCCATCTTTGCAGAGATGATTCAGTGGAAGGCTTGAGATTCTACCCAAATTTATTTCTGACACAAAGCTAATACCATTTGTGTACAATTGGTTATGTAATAGTTGAACAAGAGAGCAGAGGGCAGAATCTTTCCAAGAACTGACTTTAAAATTTTGATTTCGCTAGTCAACTGCAACAAACATGAACATTGCAATGCTTTTACAGTTCTCAGGTATTTCAAGTGCTGAATCCTCTTACTTGGAACTGAAAGGAAATAGAAATCACAAAGTCGGAAGCATGTCTACTGTCTCAAGACAACTCACTCATTTTTCAAGTTTTATTTGATGTTCTGTGTAGTTTCTCATTTCAAGAGAAGATACCATACCAGTGAAGAGAATATCATCGTAGAGTGCTGAGGGTCAGCGCCCAGGTTACTACATACTCCAATTCCAGTTTGTTTATGTCTGGAGCAACAAAGCAGACAGATGTATCCACAGTGATAAGAAGCAGGACTTTGGGGTGTACTGAGGTATAAGGAACAAACTAGTGTAGAATAACCCTGTCTCTCAGAAGTGATGAATAGTTTTCTAGGGGAGGATCTTGGGGTACCGGAATTCGAGACAGAAAGAACCTGCTGCAAGAGAGATTATAGCATGTCATGCAAATCTAGAAATTACCATGTTTATTTTGTCATATCTTACACTAATATCTCAGATAGAAGCATTGTTAGCACATGCTTCCTCCCTTCTCTTTCCTTGCCATCTTCCTTCCTGTCCATTTATGTTGCACTTTGGGTGCCCTTTCTCTGTCCTCTCTGTAGCAGAGTGGAGCAGCCTCCTGTCACTTTACCAGACTCTGTGCTTTAATGTGCTTGTATTTTATCTTGTTCTTCTAACAAAAGATCATTTGTTTGTTTCATCAGCCTACTACCTGTTTTGGGGAAACAGTTCATTTGCTTACCTCTTATATGTGAAAATTAATATGCTTTTTATATTGAAGGGAGGAAGAAGACTATCACCCTGTGTTCAATAATCACAAGGTATCATTGTTTGGTATTCCTCACCCTGTGTTCACACTGAATGCAATATAATAGCCTCGGTTTTCATAACTCCAGTGGAGTTGCTACACTACTTGAAGATCTGTCATGATAATAACGTGTTAAGTGGATGTTTATGATCCACATTACCTGAATTTTTGGCATTTTGAAGTGACTATTTTTAATAAATAAATTCAAGGTATGGGCAAGGACAGCATACAGGTAACTGCATTGTGGTTGTGATGGCCAGATCAATTTTACAGGAAAGGACAAAAAGGCTTTTAAGATGACCCTGAAGATATTTTCAGAACTATTTCAGTGTTACCATAGTATGAGTTAAGAGCCTGCCAATAATTCAGTGCAGAGATTGCTACAGCAATCATGCCTGTGGCTTGTAGGATATCCTTTATATCCAGGGAATTGTGTCCTCTTATCACAAGCTAACTTTCATGCCGTGCTTTCTTTAAGGCAGTTTTCCTCTGCTCCATGAGGGTGCTAAAACTTACATCTTTGACACGGCTGAAGGAACCAGTTCCACACTCTTATTAGTGTGTTAGTCACCTGGTGTCATCTCTTCAGGAGCCTTACAGCTTGCTGCTTTCCTTCATTCTCCCCACAACCCACAGGAGAGATCCATGCAGAGTACACCAAGCCCCACACATCTAAGGAGGGACTGAAAAGTGAGAAATTTGGAAACAAAAACCTGTTTTGTGACAACTGTCTCTTTTGCCTAATAAAAACCTGTCATGAAGGCCAGTGGTTTGTGGGCCTGAACCTCTCCCCACAAGGGGGCACGTCATGTGCAGGAAGAACAAAATCTGAGAGGAAATGCCAAGTGTAAACTGCCAGCCTCTGCTCCTCCAACGCCGAGTGTTTCATTATCTTAATTAAGCAATAATAATACAGCCTATTTAGAATAAGGGTACCTTCTCAAGCTTTTCTTTTCCAAGATTTTTCCTTGACTTTTTTTTTCTTCCAGGCAAGAAGTCTACAGGGTAAATTGTATTGCTGGTTTAGAATTTAAACAGACAAAAGAGAAAATGGCTACTAGAAAGTAAGAAAGATTAAAAAATTTTCTTAAATAGATTGTTCCGTTGAGTTTTTTTTTCTTCTAAATGTTATAAATGCTTTAAAATCTTTGCACATTAAAATCTTGTGGTTCCATGGGGCAGGTTTTTAAAGCACATCATATTTTCCCTGTCTCACTCTGTACCTAAAAGTTTACAATATAGTTTTGGTTTAAAGGGCAGAATTAAATGTAATTAGAAGGCATTGCTTCTGTTGCTGAGTAACCTGTGACCCATGCCAGCCAGGACAGTCAAATAATAGGTGCCTACACAAGCACTGTTCTCATGAGATCATACTAGTTTAGTATGGAAGGTGCATATATGAACCTTTCCTGTTTTGATTATTCCTAGGATATTTGTGTCACGATACATGATCATAACCTCATTTTGCCAGGGCTGCCTATATAAATAGTGCTTGTCTTTTTATGGAGCAGTCTTAAATGATGATTATGTTTTTCATTTTGAAACATGGGCCTTTTTATACCTCAGACAGGAAAACACTCCTCAGGAATTTGTACATTTTTTCTGTTTCCTTTGCCTTTGTTTTCAGGAAAATTAGATTCAGCCTATGGAAACATAGATCTAATCTAGACCATATTTCTGAATTGCAAATTTTTTTTCTTCTGAAAACTACATGTGGATGTGCATTTAGAAGTTTTCAGAAATTTATCTTTCATAATCATTAGTGGGTGCATATTGATTAACTCTTTGATGCTCAGTTCTTCTAATCAGGACTTTTACGGTTCGTCCAAAGAGCCTGACTGTGCTTCTAAAATTAGGGCAAGTATTGCCCCTGAATTCATGAGTACAGTAGTTGGAGACAGTAGGAGCCTGTTGCCAACAGTAGAAGTTCTGCTTCCTGAAGAGCAGATGAGTTCCTGGGAAGCACTCATCTGCAGCTGGACAGTTCTTTGAAAATACATACTGCAAAGGCAGTTCAAAATTGTTAGTGGATTTGATAAGGAATCATAATTTTCTCTGGGAGGAGCTCCCTCACCAATATATTTTCTGTTGACAAATATGACCACTACGTTCCTTCTCCTGTTCTAGCAGTTCCCATTTCATCCTAACTCTTAGCCCTTCAGGCATTCCTGTAAAATGCAAGACCCCTATAGTTCCAAGTCACCTGCTAGGAACACTTCAACTATCATTTTGTTCTCTGAAGAATAACCTACAAGTATTCATGCTGAGAGAATATTCTAGACATGTCTCTTGGCAACATTTGTCTGTATTTTAAGTATTTAAATACTTTTATTGGAGAAGAAGTCCAAGTATCTGTCCTCCCAGACACCTCCCAGGTAGCTGTCCTGTCCAGCAAGCTTGAGAGTAATTTTTCTTTGTGGTTTAGAGTTAAGGTATTACTCCCCTCCCCCCCCCAAAAAAAAAAAAAAAAAAAGGCAACAAAAAAAAAAAAGCCCACCACCAAAAACACACATCAAAACAAAAATTCCAGGAGTGACTGAGACATCTTAAGTTTCAGAAAACCCCACAGCCTGCTAGTTAGTACATGCTCATGGAGGGGCAGGCCTGACAGAAACCACACTGCTTCATATCCCTGCTACACAGCAAAGACCAGGTAGGATCTGGGATTCCCGGTTTCCCACCAGACTCTGAATGCTGTGACTTCAAGTTTTCTACTGATGAAAGAGTGCATTAAACCCTGCTCTGCCATGCTCAGAGCAGAAATGGACAGCAAGTTCAAGGTCAAAGGGGCTGGTACTGGTGGAATAGTCAGTGTGAATCTAGTCCTGCTCTGACCACAAGGCTCAGACTAGACTTTTTGTACTGGAATACAGTTCCAAGTGTTTTATGTACTTCTATTATCATCAGCATTATCTCAAGAAGTTGTAAGGGTGGGGGATCTAATCTAAATGCTGTTTCACTGTATTTTTCAAGCAAAAGGTCAAATCAATGCTCCTGTTTCACTTGCTTCATACGTGCAGAACACTTCCAAAAACTAAGAGACAGGAGTTATTTCCTTTTAAAAAAAAATTTTAAAAAAAAATTGCAGGAGGATACATCCTGTGTGATGCATTGTCTTTTTACAAGAACAAAAAAAGCCAGCACAGTTGCACAGAATACTTTTGTGTTGCTGGTGTGGCATTTTTACTGTGGCTATTTAGTGACTCACATCATGTAGGTAGATTTCTTTCTAAATGTTGCCTAAATATAACAGTGTTGGATATGGTATATGGGAAACGTCTGTTGTTTCAGCCAGGCTTAGCAGCTGTGTGTGTGTGTGGCATAATTCTCCTGAGTTTCACTTAGCATTGGACAGGGAATTTGAGGTGTGTCCTTAAATTGCAAAGATCTGGTTTGATCCACCCATTAGATAAGAATGGCAAAACTCCCACTGACTTCAAACACAGGCTTTGTTGTGATTATCAAATGTTGACTAGTTAGCAGGTCTGGAAATGGGTGTATTGGATATGGCTGAGCTCTGGCAGGGAGAAGGAAGAGCTTAAAACACATTCTGGAGTGAAAGTCAAAATGTTTTGGTCTTTTCCTAGTTTAGAAACATCAAACTAGGCACAACTGTTGGAAAGCGGCTGTTTCTGGTCTTTCTGCATTCTTGCTGTTTTATCCACAGTGTTTTGGGAAAGTCCAAGATTAGGATAATTCTTTTTTTCCACCAGGACTCTAATCTATTTATAAGTTAGAAGGCCAGAAGAGAACGATCATCTAGCTTGACCTCTTGGGTAACAGAAACTGTAGGACTTCCCTTATTTAATTTGTGTTTGAGGCAGAATTCCTCTTTAGGAACAACTAGAGATTGCATTTTCGGGGAAATCCCACTGCAGCCCTTGGCCAATTATTCCATTGACTATTACCTGTTGGAAAAATGGTTTTGGTGTACAAAATCAGAATGTGTTTAGCTTTGTCTTCTAGCCACTAGACCTAATATTCAATAACAGCTTTATGAAGCATGAGTTCCTGTCATGCCCAGTCTCCTGGAATATAACAGTTTCCTAAACATTGATCATTTGGAGTATTTTTGCCCACCTTGTTCTTTCTTCTGCTCTTCCAAAGGCTTTCCATACTTACCTGATAGGCCCCCTAAATTGTTCGTATAAATTGTGAACACCAGCACTAGGCCAAGGAAGTGTTAAAGTAAGAAGTGTTACAGTAAAAGTGTTAACTGTAGAGGTAATTTGTTGGCCCAGTTTTTATACCCCCAGCCATGCCCACAGAGGGCATTCCTGCACTGTGAAACACAGGCTCAAAACTGTGCTTGTGCTCATTCACTTCCCATACACATAGCTCAGACTTGTCAAAGTAAAGTGACACCTTTCTCTGCTCCAAACCTGTGGGCAGCAGCACAAATTCAAGGATGTGACAGTGGGAGCTCAAGATTAGCTAACAACTCAGTCTGATCTCCAGATCTTTGTAATGACTCCCCGGGAGGGAGCCATGCATCCTACAAAGTTCTACAGTCTTTGTTCCCAGATGTGTCATTTTACAGGAGCTGTATTAAAACAGGTAGTATTGGTATTGTATTACTCAGAAATTGGTCAATTCTGAAGAAAAGTCATTATCACTGAATATTCTCCCAGTCTTTTTGTTATCTGAAAACTTGAGCAGTGATGATATTACATCTTTTAGGTCTCTGAAAGAAGTTTTAAATTGCTAAAGCCTAAAAAGCCTGTTTTTAAACCTTTAGGTTAATACATCCTCCATGAAAATTCCACATTATAAGGACATATTGAAATCACTTCATCAACACCTAATCCTTTTAAAGCATAATGTGCTAATTCTGCACAAGCATCCTTCATGGAAATATTAGGTCTTACCCCAATCCAAATATTCTATGGAAATGTTAAGTATTATTACATTATACCATTACTTCCTTTACTTGCCAAACTTGTAAATTTATCTAAAATACATTTTCCACCAACTTCAGTCAAGTGATATTGGTAATGGTACTCTCCCTTTTATTATCAGCTTCTCCATCTCTATTTCTAGAATCAGGGCTGTTCTCTCTTTACAAACCAGCCAAATCAATGAAAACCCATGCCTGGTAATTCATCCAGTGGTCTGAAACCTTCACAGCATCTCCAGACCAACTTTTTGGGGAAATAATATTAAAAATTGATGGATGAAAGTTTATCCAGAGCTGCTGATTTTAAGTTCTTTAACTGAAGCAGCTCTTACTTTACATTCTCAGGCTTGCATTGGTACAGGAAATATTTTAATACCAATCTGGAACATGGCTTTATTGTCTGTTTTCTATCCCAGAACAGAAATATTTATTGAACATCAGTGTTTCCTTTGCAATCCACTTGATAAGTAAAATTTTTCATATACCAGTAGAATAACAACCATTCCTTAGTTTCAAATTTATATTAAAATGATACATCTTTGCCACTCAGCATTGCTGATTACAGATCTCATCTCTTTTACATTCTTTACTAGTTTTATGCTTCTGATTTTGAACTATTTCTGACAATTTTAGCAGTTTTTCCTGCTTATTTTTATTAATTTATGTGCTTATTTTATTAAATTTAAATTAATTTAAGCCTTTCATCATTAAATTATTCATATTCTTGTCAGTTCTCCAACCAAGACTGCAGTGCAACCTCTCTTTTTTTTTTTTTTTTTTTTTTTTTTTTTGAGAAAGATTCTTGAACAATGCATAGATACTGTTTCCAAAAGGCCATGTTTCAGTTTTTCACTCTTTCCAGCTTTTTGAATTTTCCCCCTAAACCACCAAATATTTATATTACCATTTTGGCCTTTACCTTGATTCTCTGTAACAGATGACTCTCTTGTATCCCAGCCAGCACTGCTTTGGGGGTTTCACAATTAAATCTCCTTTGCCAGTGTGGATGAGGGCAAACAGATTTCTCTGGCTTGCCTGCTTATTATTACTACTCCCGCTAGGAAGCTTGAGGTCAATTTAATGCCAGCAAGTGAAGGCTTTTAGCATATTTTGCACAGATAGAAATCACATACAATGTCACATCTCTCCCCACTACACAGAGCAGAGAGGGAATTTAGTAGCCAGCAATTCTGCTTTCACACCTGGTGGTCTCTGGACAATATGTGCTATTACATGATCTTGTTTTTACGCCAACTTAAAAAAAAGACATTTTCTTCCCAGCCCAACTGTGCCGGCAGTGGGGATACAGCCAGAAGCCAACACACCACCTTATGCCCACTGAAAACCACCAACACAGCCAATCTGGTGATTGTGCCCTTCACGTAAGTACCCTCAATCTGTAATGTCAAGCAGATCGGTTTCAGGTCCTGGCTGCAGTCAAGGTGGCTGATCTGGCCGTGCTAAGCAGAGGCAGCTGCCCACAGCCTCTGGCACCACCCATCACCACATGTGCAAGTGATTTCTGCACAGCTGCCAGCAGCTGGAAAGCACATAATCCCAATTTTACAGGCCATGAAGATTTTCCTGTCTGACCTTCCTGCCATGGCTGTCCTCAACATTTCAGCCACACGGGCTCCCTCAGCCCAGCAGCTACCTGGGATCTGTGCGCAGGTGGGATCTGTCTGCACTCCCCGCTTGCTTACCACGCCGGCAGCTGGTGCTAGAGATCAGCAATTAAAGGTTACTCTTTGTATCCTTCAGTGTCTAACTTAATTTAGATCTCAACGTTTTGGCTGTGGGCTAAATGGGTACTCGTCTGCTCCCTTGTTCTCCCGTCCCTTCTGTTGTTAGCTCCTCGCTCTCCAGGGAGACCAACTTTAATGGCAAGGATTTTATCCACCGCTAGCCAGATGCCTCAGAGACCAGCTCCGTTGAAGCATTTTAATGAAAAATATGTTCCTGATGAAATTTGGATGGCATGTTAACAAAGACAGATCTCAGTTCTCAGCACCACAGCAGGTGTATTATGTGCAAACATAATCCACTGTGCTTCAAAGGGTTTAATAAAGTAGCCTGTCTATTTATCCTGTGTTCATCCTCCTGTTATCGGGGTCTTTACAATTTCTACCATACAATCACAGTGGCAACTTGTGATTTCTAATCACCATTTTTTGGACTCTGTCCCCTTTTGGAAGTGTTGGCACAAAGGTGATACAGGTCTGAAAGAAGGCACTGAGGGGGAGTGCAGTGACCTGAGCTAGCTTTGTTTCTGACTTTACAGTTTGAGCAAAATCTCAGTGAATCAGTTTACTCTGGCAGAAAAAAAAAATAAGGCAAAGCCTTTTTCATCAGCAGAGGGAAACAAAAGATCAAAGATCACTCGTAACTCATAAAATACTGCAAGGCCATTGGATCAAAGGCACTATAATAAGTGAAAAATACTGTGATACAAGTAAAACATCTTGCCATGTGTTCCAGACTCTTTCCTGCTGCATGGATTTCTTTACTTTCTCCTCTGCATTACAACAGAGGAAAGAGATTTTTTTTACTAGTGATTAAATCTTCAAAAGATTGTGCTCATAGTGGAAAAAAGCCTGGCAATAGATTCACCGATGTAAGATTTTTCAGATGTTAAATATAGGCAGCAAGTGAGACTGGAGTTTCAGTCTTGGACTTGAGCAGCCATTTCAGAGCAGACATTTCATTCACCTCACTCTTTTTTATTCTCTGAGCTTCTCCATCATCTGGAATCTACTTACAGTATTGTTTGCTTTATTACCATGTGTGATTTATTTCCTGTTTTGTTCAAACCAGACCTAGTGCCACAGTGCATTCACTTGTGCCAGCTGGTACCTTCCATGACCAATGGGAAAGATGCTCCTGGCAAGACTGTGCACCTCTGCACTTAGCACTTCTACAGTGGCACTGCCTGAAGCTGAATTCTTGCTTCCAGAGTCACATAGACCAGGACCAGACATGGACACAGGAAGGTCCTCAGCATTCAAAGGAAGTGTTTCCCAATCTCACAAGACATGGCTCAGGTCATGTAGCTGCAAGTGTCTGGTGAAAAAATGCAGCATCCTTCACTTTTTTGACTGAATATACACGTCTGTATCCTCCAAAACATCGAAAAAATCTTACCTACAATAAAAGACAGACAAGTTAAAAACCCCCAGTTGCACACACTTCTACTAAAACTAAGAGAATATTTAGAATTTGAATTGTTCAAAATAAAATGTTTAAAAGCAGCCCAGAAAATCATTATGACACCCATATAGTTCCCTTTTTGCTGTCCAGAATACAGTCTGAGCTCCTCAGCAAGGATTTATCTTGTTCTCCCAAAGGCTTTGTCAGTACTCCAGATGGCATTGTGCCTGTGAAGCATTAACCACTGCAGACCCCAGCTAGCATACAGAAAACGGCTTTAGCAGGAGGTTGATCAGAGTCCAGTGACAGCAGTGGGCAACAACCCTAAGCAGCTGTTTGGTCTCAACACTTGGGGCAGAGATACCCACGCTGCCTGGAAATTGTATTTTCTGAGTTATATAGATGATACAAGTTAACTACGAGAGATCTTCTAGTCTGTTTTTAATTCTGAACAACAGAAGCTGAGGATTCCTTCCTCTTGGGCCTTTATGTCATGCCCACACTTATCATAAATGAAGGATAAGCAGGAAAATTCATTTTATGTCATACTGTCTGATGTAAATGCTCCTTAAAATCCTTCCCTACCTTTATGGGTATGTAGGTATCCATTGGTCTATATTTAAACCACAGACTTCATGTCATGCAAATAAATTTAACAACAGTCGGAGATAAAATAGTCTGTTGCTTAAAAACAGATGGAAAGGGCTTTTCTTAAAGAAGTCTCTGCAGGAGGATAGTTTCATCATGTAATAACAGTTCCTGAATATTGTCCATGAACACTGGACGTGACAAATACCCACATATATATGACCCTCAGCTGCAGACGGGCACATCAAGGAGCTGATGCTGCTCTTTCTTTGACGCCCGGTCTCCACCGCTGCAAGCTGGCCCGCTGACTCTGGAGAGCGGCCTCCGGCCTGCCCGCCGCTCTCCTCTCAGGTCATCAACCAGCCTGGCTCCGACGTGCCAGCCCCTGCCTGGGCAGGTTGCCCTTACCAACGCCCAGCGGGAGGGCAGTGATTTTCACGGAGTACACTGAATTGGAAGAGACCCACGAGGATCATAGAGTCCAACTCCTGGCCCTGCACAGGACACCCCCAAGGGTTGCACCATGAGCCTGAGAGCGTTGTCCGAACGCTTCTTGAACTCTCTCGGGCTGGTGCTGTGACCACTTCCCCGGGAAGCTGTTCCAGTGTCCAACCACCCTCTGGACGAAGGTTTCCTGACATCTTACCTAAACCTCCCCTGACACAACCTCCGGCCACTCCCACGGGTCCTATCACCGCTAACCACAGGGATCAGTGTCTGCTCCTCTGCATCTCATCGTGAGGAAGCTGCAGACTGCGATGAGGTCTCCCCTCATTCTCCTCCAGGCTGACCAATGACCTCAGCCGCTCCCCGTACGGCTGCCATACACACCGCACGCACCGTGAGGGGAGCTGCGGGGCTGCCACAGGGCCCTCACCGGCCCGGGGGTGCACACGGCTCGGGCGCGCCCCTCACGCCTCTCC